CATTGAGATGTAATCCATATCGAAGGCTGTGCTCTTTGATCTTCATAAGTAAATGTTTCAAGTCCTCTTCACTTTCAGCAAGCGAGGTTGTATCATCTGCATATCGCAGGTTGTTAATGAGTCTTCCTCCAATTCTGACGCCATCAACTTATAGCACTTGACAATTACTGAATGAAGAAACTCAAAAAAGCCCCCATGTGGCCATTGCCTAGATCAGCAGTTGATCAGAATCACTGGGTGCTTATGAACTAGCTGAGAGCCCAGCCTCACCCTAAAGAACCATCTGTTCACTGGGCCTTGGGGGTGGGGCCATGCAGTAGGACAGCTCAGGGATGCAGGGGCTTCGTCAGTTGTTTGCAGTTCTTTCCAGCACTGCACCCAGGGCCTGGCTGCTATCAGGCTCCCATCCGAGACCCATGGGATGTACACTAAAGCCTGTGATGCAGTGACCTAGCACATAACAGTTCTTGGCCGATCCATTAATGTGTGCCACCCAGAAGGCTTTGGTGGACTGTCAGGGAGAGGACAGCCCTGACAGTCCTGAGGAGCAATTGGACCTCTACCCGGGTGGAAATGCAGTTCACCCACTACCTCTGTTCCATAAGAGACAGGAATTCTGCCCTCTTTGACTGGCTGTCAGGATTCAGGCGTTGTGAGGAAAAAACAAACTCATTCTTTTCTCTGTCTAAGCAGCATTCCAGCCACAGCCCCAACATCTGCTTACCCAGGGATGCAAACTGCTTATGGAGGGCCAGGCGGGACTGCACCCTGGTCTTCAGCAATTTCATGGTGGTCTCCATGTGGCTGGCGCTTAGCGAATGGTCTGCGATCACTGTGTGCTGTGAATGTCAATGGGCAGTACACATTGTGAATGCGCTCCTCCCTTCCGCCAGGTACCTCTACCATTATCCCAGGACCTCCTGCCTGGGACAGGACAGCCTGGACCACCCACACCTTCAGAGGGGGCCTATGAAATAGCAGGGCTGACCTGCTGTGACAGGCAGAGGCCCAAAAGGAACATATGAAGCTGCTGGCTGCTCCTGATAACAGGAAGGGTCCTGTGAAGGGGCTGGGTCTCCTAGGGTTTTGCTTCTTTGTCATTTTTGGCATCCTCATGCACAAGACCGAAGGGCAGTACAGCCCAGATCAAGGACCCTGTTTACTTTGATTTAGAGAGCTGCCAGGCTCAGGAAGAAGGCAAAAGGGACTGAAACAAGGCGAAAATTAAGCAAACACTTGTAGGCCACAAGCATTTTAAGAGATGGGGGTTTCTTGTGCCCCAAGTTTTCTGGAGCTGATGGAGGACTAATCATAGCCCCAAAGGATAGTACTTTGCTTGTTCTGAGACCCCAAAGGCCTCTGAGTCCACAGAAGTGACCCTTAGCTAAGAACAGGTCAGTACACGCACCTGAGGCTGCTCTTTGGGGAAATGGAGGCCACCCAGCTTCTGAACCCATAGATAGGGGTGACCTAGGTCAAGTACGTAGTCTCTCAAAGTCAAGATGCTGCAGAAAGGAACACAAGATAAAATGACTAAAAATCACCTCCACTGTGGTCTTCAGAGACAGCCCTTCTCCCAGTTCCCATAACAGGTTGGTCCACAGAGGACTTGAAGCCCAGGTGTGTGCACACCTATTCACTCCATCAGTTCCCTCCTGTGAATCTCATTTCCCCACAATCACCTGTCCCTTCTTACAGACTTTAACTCATATGCAAATCTCAAATAAACAGGGAGAGTGTGGATTTCTCCTCCAGTCTACTGATTTTTAAAATACAAAATTGTTAGTTCAACATTTTAATGTATTTCATGCTCTTACCATCTTCCCCAAATTTTGATCCTTTTGCCCACACCATGACCCTCCTTTGCCTTGCAAACAGGAAAGGGCATGTGTTCATTATTCCCTCCACCTGGGGCCCTCCATCCTTGCTGGGAAGCCTCTACTCCCAACAGGTCTGTAGCTTTGGGCTTGAGCCACCTATGAAACTCAGAAGTGGAGAGGCTGGGATCTGAGGAAACCCTGCTGACTCACCCAACTTTATCAAACTGGTATTGATTGGCAGGATTCGGTGTTTTCTTTCCATGGTCCCCAGGATATAAGCAGCTCATTACTGAGTCGGGAGACAGCAAGTCACTGGAAAAGGGAGAAGAGCCAGTTGTGAGAATGCCCGCCAACATCCTGCCTCAAGGTCGGACTTGGGCATGGGATAGTGGTGGTGGTAATGTCTAATGATCATCACTGATCACTAATGGCTAATGCCACCATTTATGGGATGCTTCCTGGGGGCCAGATGCTCCTATGCTTGAGATCATCAAATCCTCACAACCCTGCAAAGTAGGGAATACTGTCACCTCCATTTTATAGAGAACCTACTCAAGGCTTTGAGATCACAATGCTTGTATGGACTGGAGTCAGAATTCATAAGGTCTGATCACAGACAATATTCTTAACCACCTGATTTTAAAAAGCATAAAAAAACAAATACTTCAAGAGTTACATGGGGCCAGGGACTTACCAGAGGGTTTGCTCCCCTTTGACACCGACAGCAGAGATAACTACAGTTCTCATGGAAGCAGAATAAACGCCCTTCTGGCCCAGAGAGAGCACGGGCGCGGCCCTGGTGCTGTGTCTCAACTGACTTTCCCCACATCTCATGCTAGTCACAGAAAAAGGCCCCTTCATGCTCCTGGAGAGATTATCATACACACTGGAGACAAGGTGGCCCACAGCTGTTAGCAGCATCACATGGAATGATGAGGCATATCTGTAACTAAATGTGAGGGAAGTCCTGGCGCAAGGGAGGAGGTAGTGACGTTATCACAAAAGACAAACGCCATTCTTTCCCCAGACCAACAGAAGGCATTCGTCATCTTTGCAAGGTGGCACAGGAGCAACCTGCTGCTCAGTGCTCCAGGGGAGTTTTGGCCCCAGCATGTCTCTGGGGCTAAACACCCAGGGCTCTTCCCTTATCTCTACCCTTCACTGTCTCACACAGAAAACAAAGTCAAAAATTTTGGGCTTTTAACCAATGCTCAGCAATAGAAATAACATATATAAAATAAAACAGGGCATCTAAAACTGCCTTGAAACAATCAAATCATGACAAAACTTAGACCTGTAGTATGGCTTTTAGGAAAACAGTAAAAATCATGGATGTAAAAGGGGGCATAATATAAAAATTATAATGTCATAAACTTTCCACTAAGTCATCATTGTTAATAAAACACTAACAGAAAAGAATTTTAAAACTTTGTAAAATAAAAATTGAAAATAATTAAACATAGCTTAGTAATTTAATGAAAACTTCACTCATGAATTAAGTTGACCTAATGAAGTTCTGGTGTGGCGCTGTGGATTACTGTGCCAGACTGCAAAGTCGTTTGAATTGCAAGGCTGGCAGTTCAAGCTCACCAACTGCTCCTCGGGAACCCTAAACCAGGGTTGCTATGGGTCAGAACCGACTCGACAGCACATAACAATAATGAAGATCAGCCTGGGATACAATGTTTTTAGGCAAAGTCAGCAATGTTCGTATGATTCTGACTAAAATAAAATGTTTATTTTAGTCAGAATCGGAAATGAGAGTCACCAATAACAGAAATAGCCTGTGGCTCCCGACGAAGTCCTCACCAACAGCTAGAACACAGCCTTGCCTCCGCTGCCCCAAATCAAAATGGAATCTGATCAAGCCTCTAAATCTAACTACAGGAAATCCATGGGGAAAGAGTAACTAACTAGTTAAATTGGCCTACATGGATGCAATCATCAAAACACACAGGAGAAACACTCTAAGGTGCCAACAACCCACTTTCAATGAATCAATGGTAAGGACAAAAAGATGGCAGGGAAATTCAGGTGAGAAATTTGGGGGAAGACTCCATCAACTGCAATGTATGGACCTTACAGAGATCTCCATTTAAAACACAAGTTGTGTGGGTTCCAGGTCCAGGGACTGGGGAAGGCTGTGTGCCTGGTGGCAGGAGGCTGCCTTACAGAATGTGCCCTTTGGACATTTAAATGAACGTATATTTTTTGTTTTCTATGTGTACATCAAATAGTTTTGCTTTGTTCATTTGTGAAATATAAGATGTAAACAGAGAGCCACAGGGTGGAAGTAGGGTAACTTCTTGCAGGATGGGGATTGTAATCATTGTAATGATTGAAACAAAGTATATAATTTGTTAAATGTAAAGCTGATGAACTTGTCTGTAAACTTTCACTCAATTCACAGTAAAAAGTTAAACTACAAAAACACAAGCTGTGAAGACAGCACAACAAATACACCATTTATAAGAGAGAGGGCATTTGAACCCTGACTGGACAGTTGTTGGCACTAAGGAATAGTGTGCTCTTGCCGAGATACTGGGTTGTTCCTCTGGTTTTGGACACAATCGCCACAAAGGATGCTACAGGACCAGGCAACAGTTTCGTCTTTGGTACACAAGGTTGTCATGTGGTAGAACTGATTCCATCCATGTTTTCAAAAGTAGATAAATACATAAAACTACACACTTGGCAGGTGCCTCCATAGAGTTAGAGCAGGCTGTACTTGAGCAAGGACCTCTGGTCTGGGTGCACGGAACCTCAGCATCTAGCCCCAAGGCTTCACCAATTGGGTGACCTGCTTCTCCATCAATGGGATGAGTGACTACACCTGAAGGCCCTAAAAAGCTCTAATCCTGGTTTCCTATCTCCTCCCGTTCTTCAAAGATGCTCTGGTAGCATAGTGGTTACGATGCTAACCTCAAGGTCAGCAGTTTGAAACTATCAGCTGTTCCACAGGAAAAAGATAAGGCTTTTAGATCCGGGAAAGATTTACAGCCTTAGAAACCTTGTACTGGGTTGCTATGAGTCAGCTCTGACTCCACGGCACACCACCACCACCTCCTTCTTCAGAGACTTGAAAGCAGTATTCCAAAGACCTGGCCCACTTTGAACTGTCCTTCTCCACACGTTACCTATGACTGGGGCTTCCCTCTGCAGAGCTGAGTTGACAAGGATAAACACGCTGTCATTTACTAGGTACATACTTGGTGCTCAGCACTTGACCTGACTCTTCACAAGCGCTTTGGGAGGGGATGCTAGAAATGGAGCTCGGAGGCCAGGGGAACTGTCTCCACACACAGCTGTGAGTGGCCCAGGCGGGTGAGGACTTAGAGCCAGTAGCACAGCCTCCATCGTGCATATAGAGCTCAGCATGGAGTTGGAGGTGAGGGTGCAATCACGGTCAGCTGGTGGTACAGCTGTTAGTGGGTGGGGTATCTAAGAAGGGAGCAAACTGAATGCTCGAGACAAGATCCAAGGTGCCCAGGAGCCCTGGATGAGCGGCATACCTGGGCACACTCAAGAAGCCAGCCCTGGCTCCCTCTGCTGGGGCTGGGTGAGAACAGGTCAGCTTCATCTAAAATGCCCTTGGGTGGTTCAACAACATACTCAAGCACAGGAACTGAGGCTATGGCCTGAAAGGAGAGGAACTCTAGGTGCAGGGTCCAAATCCAGGGGATGGTCCCCCACTTAGGCAGCTGAGGGAAGAGTCCTGCCCCACCAAGCATCAGATCCTGCCTCCCTGAGCCTCAATAGTTACAACTTTCTCCACAGCTGACACATGGGCTCAGGAGGACTTTGTTGGTGGAATGCTGGGGGAAGTGCAGCAAGTAGTCAGGGGTTCCCTAGGAAAGTTCAGCCAGAGGCTGTCATTACTGAGCCTCTGGTTCGCTTTCCTCAAAATCCCCCAGGGACCGGCCTCAGCCCCTCTTCCCATGGCCCAGGTAACCTGGATTCAACTAAGCTAATTGGTGACAATCCCAGCACCCTGGGACAGAAAGAGAAAAGAGTGGTGGCCTACATTTGTTTACCTGATCATGGCTGCCAAATCTCAGGTTCATGATCACATGCAGCACTGGTTATAAAAGCTGGTGCTCTGACCTGCCTACTCAATTTTGTAAATAGTTTGTCCTCACCCACAACATTTGCTGTATAGTAACAGGACTTCACAAATTAAAGTCAGTAAGAGCTTTCTACATACACTGAGTTGCCTGGGCGACTAGGTTGTGTGGACACAACAACAGAGCCTGGAGGGAGGACCTACAAACATACAAACAGTCCCTCACTGAGGTCAGAGCCACACACCCCATGCCCTGCTCTGCCCCGTAGCCCCTGTCAATACCCTGCACTGATGGGGGTGATGAGTTCCATGGCGGTTGTCACTTTGGCTTTCACTGTCATGATGTTGAGGTTCATGAGATAGTAAAAGGTCAGGTGAAGCACACTCTCGTCTGGATGGGAGGAGGAAAGGAAAAGAGAACTTGTGAGTAAAACTCAGACCAGAGTCAACAGTACCACAGGAAAACAATTTAACGAGGTTTTTAAAATCTTTTACTACAAAAACAAAAACTTAATGGCAAACAGTGCTAAGTAAAAAAAAAAAAAAGCAAATTCTTTGACTCCTTCTCTAGGAAAGAGTGTTTAATTCCCTCCCCTCAACTGTGAACTAAACTTAGTGAGTCCCTTCTAATAAATAGTTTAGAGAGGGAAAGTGGTAAAGGGAGAGTGGAGAAACCCAGCAGATGCCACCTAAAGCAGGTGACCCAAGTGAACACCATCTGTGATAAGACACTAGCATCAGATACCTGCTATGATATGATGACGAATGCCCTACCATCACATCAAAGCAGGTACACGATAGCAGCATTCCCCTAAACCCAAAACCTGACTCTAATCACACAAAAATACCAAGCAAGCCCACACGGAGAGACATTCTACAGAGTACCCAAAGCTTCATCTTCAAAAGTGTCAAGGTCATGAAAACCAGAAAAGACTGAGGAACTGTCACTGCCTGCAGGAGAGTAAGCATGACAATGTGGGACCCAGGTTGGATCCTGGAATAGAAAAAGGACATTAAAAGTGAGGAAAAATAACCAAATCTGTAGTTTACTTAATCGTATTCTACCAACAAAATTTTCATTGGTTTTGATCACTATGCTAAGGTAAGGAAGATGTTAACAGTAGGAGTGAAGCTGGGTAAAGATTAAATGGAAACTGTATCATTTCTGCAACTCTTCTGTAAACTCAAAATTTAAAACAAATTCTAAATCAAAAGTTTAAAAGGAAATGGCAAAGAGATGACCAGTGTACAGAGCGTATTTCCATTTGTATAAAAAACAAGTCAGGAACTCTGAATTTAAACTAGAAGTACCCATATGTACAAACTTTGAAATTATTTTTTAAAAAGCCCTTAAATATGAAGCTGGAAATTCACCAAATATCCACAAGCTCAAACTCTGAAATCAAGCAACAAGTACTCCTTGTTCTGATCTTGAAATAAGCATGAATTAACTATTGGGGAGTAGGGGGAGTACAGACGGGAATAAATACCCACTTGTATTAAAAATTTCTAAATGCCCAAAATATTAGTAGGAAAAAAATAAATGTGAAACAATGGTGGTCCTTGGGTGTAACACTGATAACTAGGGGCCTGGGAGTATGGGATTATGAAAAACCAAACCCACTGCCAATGAGTCAATTTCAACTCATAGCGACACTGTATAGGGTTTCCAAGGCTATAAATCTTTACAGGAGCAGAAAGCCTATTTTTCTCTTGCAGAGCAGCTGGTAGATTTGAACTGTTGATCTTGTGGTTAGCAGTCTAGTTCTTAACCTATAGTGTCACCATGGGCTTGTTGTTGTTGTTAAGTGCCATCGAGTCGGTTCCGACCCATAGCAACTCTGTATAGGGTTTCCGAGGAGCAGCTGGTGAGCTTGAACCACCACTAGAGAAACTAAATTTCACTAGTGCCTCCCATATTGCTGGGATATCTTATTGTGTATGTTTTTCTGTATAAAAAAAAAAATTCAAAACATACCTATAGTCTCCACAGAAAACAAAATTCTACTTCTATTAGATCGAGCACATATTGTATTCACCAAAACTTGCATGACCTTACTTATTCTGTATCCTTTATTTATCAAATGCAGAAAGAGGAATCGTTTTACCAAGATTCTGTTATGTCTGGGGTTTTGCTGCTATGTTGTTACCATTATAACTTAAACCAGGAGGAAAACCATAGGAATATGAGGCTGGAATCCTTTCTTGTACACAAAGACCTCTGGCTGGCTTGTCTCTCTGCACCTGCAGCTGGCCATGCTCTCAGTGTTCCAGGAACCCCAGAACAACATAGAACAAGGGGTACGTCTAATGGGGTAGGGCCAGACCTTTGCACTTCAGGTCGAGCATGACGGACAGCGGGTGCCTCTTCAGCATCTCCTTGCGCTTGTCATCCAGCTGAACTCCGAGTGTGGGTCGGCGGCGTTTCTAGACATAGGGAAAGGCCTGAGCTAGTGAGCACTGGTTGAATGACTTTCTCCTTCCCCACCCCTGCCAGCCAGGACCTCAGCACTTCTGCCTAGGATCTGCTGCTTCAGCCCTCTAGGCTGCCAGGCTCCCAGTGTCCTATCTTTCAAACCTTCTCTGTTTGCTTCTTAGGGAGAATGGCAGTCACCATAAAGCAGATCCCAGAGCAGCTGCTTGGTGCCCCCACAAGAGTAAATGGTTCTCACCGTGGTCTGTTCTTCCTCAGCATCTGAGTCACTCTCATCATCTGCAGTCACAGAGAGAAGGCAGCTAGAGATAAGGGGGTTCCAAAATGCTCCCCCACACCAACACACCTAAACAAACCCTCAGGGCTGGAAGGGGCCCAGACCTGTATCACTTGTAGAGAAAATACAGCACTACAAAGAACTAAAAACAATAAACTATAATCCTACAACCCTTTCTTGTTATGTTAAATAATCATTTATATTGTGCTTTCAGTGAAGTTTACACAGCAAATTAGATTCCCATTTAACTACTATACAAACTGTTCACTGACATTTGTTACATTTTTATCAATGTGTCAACGTTCTCATTAATTCCATTCTGGGTTTTTGTTTCCAAAAATCTGGTTTCCCTATCCCCTTACCCTTCCATCTTTGCTGTAGGTTAACTGTTTAACCATTCACCCTTGTTTTTTTTTTTCAATGGTTTTAAAATGTCATTTCTTTTTATTTTGCTGCAAAACTATAGAAACCTTTATTGAACAAAAATACCAAACTGTGAAGCTATTTCTCAACAAATCCTTCATATAGGTACATGTACTTAACCTTTTATTGTGAATTAAGTGAAGGTTTACAGAGCAGATCATCAGATTTACATTCAACAAATCCTCTAGACTGATGAGTAAATTGAGGAGCAGGAAAGGTAAATCCTGTACCCAGGCTCTTGTTGCTAGTAAGTGGAAGGGCTGAACTGGGTTCCTCCCTGACCGCCCCAGAGCACTAAGACATTAAAGCCAAGCTTCCAGCTAGGCAGAACCAGTACAGCCACTTGCACTGCCTTTGGATGGGGAGTTGGTTTCCTAGAGGAAGTATCCCAACACCATATTACCTTGGGAGTCCTCGGGAGGTTTGAACAGGGCCTTGGCTTCATCCACACTACCTTCGATGGCCACAGACAATGTCTTATCTGGGGGCAAGAAAAAGCTTTATGGGTAAAGTCACTGAGGGAAGGGGCTGCAGACCAGCTCTAGGACTGTGTATCGACTGTTTTGCCACAGTTCCTTATAGACCAAGAGTGGGAAAGTAAAGTCTTTTCTCCAGATGAAAAGGAACAAGGTGGGAAATTTACATCTTTTTTCCATCATTTACTGAGAACAAAGAACCCAGAGTACAGCTCACCTGAGACAAGCAGTGAACACCTGCCTCTTCCAGTTTACACCAAGATACAGAAACTCAAACCTGGGTCCAAAGCCACGTGGAACTCTTCTGCTAATTATCTTAAAGACTCTCATCTAGAGCTCTTAGAAATGATGCTGTCACCCGAGGGACTATCCACCACACCTGGCATTGTCAATTTACCCAGGAGGCACAGCACAGGGGGACACTGGGACCCTGCCATCCAGTCCTCAGCCTGAATCCCTGCCCCTCGAATTTTCAACCACATAACCTGAAGAAACCATGCCATTGCTCTGAACCTCAGTTTCCACTCTATGAAATGGAGACTTGTCCATAGTTCTTGCCCAACTGGGAGAAGAAAACTGAATGAGCTTGTAATTTTTATTAGAAAACAATTTTAAAGCATAATTTTTAATACAATAAAACTAGAAAAATGATGCTATGCCATTATAGCCATTTACAGATGAGAAAGTTAGGGCTTGGAAGAGAGTTAGACATCATAGCCAGAAAGCACACACACTGGAATTCAAGGTCAGTGTCTCCAACTTGAGTAGGTCCTCACAAGTATTAAGCTAACTGGTCTGTTCATGTACCAGACCTGACACTAATGCTTTGGGCCTGCCCTTCCTTGCCCTTGTGGGACTAGCCTATAAGGCCAGACTGGCCACCTTCTCTTCTGGCTCCATTCATAAAGGCACTGAGAGTCACAAATCCACAATGGTTTGCCCAGCTTCACTAGGCAGAGATGGAAAACGTCCTTTAAATGGCAGGCCACTGAGATAATATTGTGGGATGCTCAACCAGTCCTTTGCTCCAACAAGCTCTCAAGAACCAGCACATCCCACATCAAAGAAAACTGGTTGACTCCATCAACCACTGGCAACTGCTGAACTGCTTTTCGAGTAGTTTAATCCTGGAATCCTACAGTAAAATGAGATAAGAAGCCCAATGATTTTAAACACAAAAAGGGAAAAAAAAAAAAAGACTCATCCTGCCTAGTGGGGCTGGGAGGAGGGTCTCATGTGAGCTGATGATGGAAAGAGGATGAAGAGAACAAAGGGGAGGGCGAGGACAGGAAGGAGCAGGAAGATATAAGTAGGAAGATAGTAATGTGCTGGTATCATGGCTGGGGGCAGGCACGCACTGTACAGTGGGTGTTCATCCAATGAGGTGGACTGGGTGGGGAGCCAGGAGAAGAGTTTAGGTGCTGGGTGAAGCTGCATTACAGAAAAAGGCAGGTCTCCTAAACGTCTCAAAGCCCCAGCAGAGGCATGGGCTTCCCTTGAACTAAAGACACATCCTCTAACTTGACAATTTACCCTAAGAGCATGCAGCCTGTTTAGGGGCCTGGAGAAAGCCTGGGAGAGTTGGTTGGGACCTGTATTCACCAAGTCCTCTTTCTGAGGTTGAGCAAGACAAGCTGACTCACCTGTCAAGTGTGCCCAATGGGGTGAGCACAGCAGCAACCTCAAAGGCTGCCTAGGCTCTACACCCAATGACCTCATCTGACCACATTCAAGAAAGATTCAGAGCCTTCCATCCTGAAATGCTGGCCTTAACCCAGCTGGTCAGGGCAGCCATGCTGGGTGGTGAAAAGGCGAGGCAGTAACTGTCACCAGTGGGCTCCTCAGCAGGCAGAGCTTCCAAAGGATTCATGAGCTATGCTGCTGCTCCCACAATCTCTCCTTACCCAGCACCCATACTCACCACAGGCCTGCCCATATGCAGTGGCCTGGACAAAGAGGACGTAGAGAGGGGGTGGCAGATGTCTAGCTGTTTCATATTGCTTGTGGGCCTGGTCGAATGGCATGAACAGGTACTCCTGCACTGGGAGGGATGCCTGAATGCAATGAAAGAACGACTTTTATTTTCCTTCTTAAAGGAAACTCACATAGGAACATATATGGCTGTATAGTTACTGTACACACTTTACTGATCTATTTTAGCGATACATCATAAACTAATAAAATTAATAGCAGATAAAAGGTCAATATCAAAAAACTATTGTTTTTCTTTATACAATGGTGGTGGTGGTTGTGTGTTGTGGAGTCTGTTTTGACTTGTAGCAACCCTGTATAGGGTTTCCAAGGCTGTAAATATTTATGGGAGCAGAAAGCCTCATCTTTCTCCCATGGAGCGACTAGTGGATTTGAACTACTGATCTTGCAGTTAACAGTCCAGTTCATAATCCACTATGCTACAGGGCTCCTTTCTTTAAAAAGCAAAACCTGTGAAAGCCAGAACCAGTGTGAGGTAGAAACTTATCAGAGAAACTAAAATATTTTCCACTAAAACAAACAATATGTAAGTTAAGACTGTACCTTGCAAAGAAAGTAGAAAATTAGCGAGATTCAAAAAAATAAGGCAGTTCTATCAAGTCCCAGCTCTCCCAAGTTTCACTATACTACCAAGAAACAGTAAGAAAAGAAAATCATTCTTATGAATCATTTAGAGGATTTCCAGCAAGATGGTTGACTAGGCAGATGAATTGCCCAAACATTCCACAACAAACACACAAGAAACCAAATGAAACAGACACAGATGATAATCCTGAAACCTGAGTTTAAAGGAAAGGATAAAGAATTTGATTAAATACTGACTAGAAGAAATTGAACAAAAACAGTGAATAAGAGGACAGAGAGTGATGAATTGGTAACAGGCCTGACACAGTGCAGTGTTCCAATCAGGGGAGGAATATTGGTTCTGCTCATCAAGTATAATTACGCTCACCAAGCACGCCTCCAGCAGCACCCACACCGGTAGCTGGCAACCAGAAAATCCCACCCACCAGGCAAGTGCCACCACCTGCTCTCATATCACATAATCAATGACAGATGGCGGCCTGCCGTCAGCTGCTCTACATGAACAGAGTAATGAGAACTGCATGCACACTCCTATCATCTATTGCACCCACCAGGAAACAGGTGATTAGCACCTAAAAGCTGCCAAACTAGTGAGCAGAGCAGCATACCTGCCCTACAAGTCCAGATATATTAAAGCAAAATAATGCAAAAACAAAACCTGGGAGAAATACACCAACACACAATCACCAATTAAACACAAATACAACACCAAAATGTCTTAGAGACAGCAAACAACTTCAGTTCACACAAAGAAAAACTTTATTTCACAAAGAAGCAAGAGTGATTCAAACAAGTGACCAAAGTGCAGAGTCAGAAAACATCCCTGAAGAAAAAATGGCATTGGAAATACCTGATAAGGAATTTAAAGGAATTATATTTAGGTTACTTGAATGAATTGAGAGAAAGATCAAGGAAAATACAGACAAAATTCTAGAATCATTCAGGAAAGTAATACAAGAACAAACTGACAAGATAAATGGAAAATTAGAAATTTTACAAAAACAGCAAATACAATCACAGAAGATTTAAAGAGATTCAGAAGTAATGCATTAAAAGGAATATAATTGTATCAATGAAAGAATTGGTGAGATTAAAGACAAATATCTCAATGCTAATTTGTTAGAGGAACAATCAGAAAAAAGAACAAGAAAGAAAGCCTTAGGATACATCAAAAGAAATAACTTACAAGTGATCAGGATTCTATAACAGAAAAGACAAAATGAAACAAAAGGACAGAGAAAACGTAATGATTTGTTGGAAGAAATCTTCCCTAATATCATGAAAGAACATATGCTTTAAAGAAAATCAACAAATCCCAAACAAGACCCCAAAAGAAAATCATCAAGACATCTTATTCAAAATGTCCAACCTAAGATCAAGAATCCTGAAAACAACTCGGAAGAAACAAAGTTACCTACAAAAGAGACCCAATAAGACTAAACTCTGGTTTCTCGACAGAAACCAAGCAAGCAAAGACAATGGGATGACATATATAAAACTCTGAAAGAAAAAAACCTGCCAACCAAGAATCATATACCAAGCAAAATTGCCTCTCAAATACAATGGTGAAATTAAGGCATCTCCCAGATAAAAAGAAACTAAGGGAATTTGAAAAACTTGAACAACCTTATAAAATTACTAAACGGAATTCTTTGGACAACCAACAATGGCAGACAACAACCTGAGAGTACCACACATGACATCATCACCCAGAAACTAATCTAGATACATACAGAAGTATCCAGAGTAGAATAAGCCTTGTTGTTGTTATGTACCATGGAGTTGCTTCCGACTCATAGTGACCCTGCATAGGGTTTCTGAAGCTGTAAATCTTTATGGGAGCAAAAAATCTCATCCTTCTTCCGCGGAACACCTGGTAGTTTCGAACTGCTGACCTTGAGGTTAGCAGCCCGATTCGTAACCACTACGCTACCATAGCTCCTTAGAATAAGCCTACAAGACTGAAAATAAGGAACCAGACACATCATTTGTAAATGAGGACAGCTACAAAGCAAAAAGAGGAAATAAAATTCTAGTTACAGAAGTTCCAAATGGAGAGGAAGTCAAGACTATATCAAGATAGAACAGACTGTTTAAAACATGAGATGAAACCAATAAATTACAGGGTAACCTCAAAGATAATTAATAAACCTCATCAAAATAAAAAAGAAGAAAATCATAAAGCTCTAGTAAATACTAAAAGAATAGCAATGAAGGAAATGAAAAGAAAATCTATAAACAAAATTAACAACACAGAAAATTGTATGTAACAAAGAAACCAGCAGCACTATCAAAAGATAAAAACACAGCAAATGACAGCAATAAATTCACATCTATTGATGGTTGCACTGAGTACAAACAGGTTAAAGGCATCAGTCAAGAGGCAGCGAGTTAACAGAATAGATAAGAAAACATCAATATGCTGTCCATAAGAGATAAACAAAGACAAAAACAGGCTAAAAATCAAGGGATGGAAAAAAATGTTATCAAGCAAATGTCAATCGAAAAGAGGAGTGGGCAAGACTAAGACTCAATGGGAATAAGCTCTGATTGGTGGCCACGCTCGTCACCATTAAGGGGAAGTGACGGAAAAACAGCAATGAAGCTGCAAGCTAAGCCCTACAATGTTCAATAGACTCCTGTGAACCCGGGTGGAGACCTGGTTGGCCAGCAGTGTGGCAAGACCTGGGGACTCTTGGGCCCAGAGTCAGTGACATAGCCACAGAGGACTAGAGTGGAGAGTGAAGCGTCCAGCTGTTAAGAGAGGGCATATGCACAAGAACACCCACACTTGCAGATAATACCCACTTGACCTGGCTTCAGAGGGTAACTAGAAGAGGAAAGTAGAAGGAAAAAAAGAGAAAAGAGTAGTCTGGTAGAATTTGATGAACTTGACCTACACCTATGGATGCAGTAGCTCAAAAGAGGGAACAAATCCTTACAGCAAGGATCATTCCCACCCCCTCCATACACAGAGTAGACAGGGATGTGCAACTTGGGCATTGGCTACCCAAAATGGGGGGGCTACAAAGGCAAGAAGTGACTGGCTTACAAGCTTTCAAGAGGGAACCTAGATTCAGAGGACATGAAGGAAGGTAGAATCTCCACTAAGTAGTATCCAATCTGTCTAGGCGGGGCTGATGAAATGAAATGTGGATGGGTCTCTTGTGATACAACAGTGAATAATTGTTATCAGGACTATTTGTGAGGATTGGAAATGTAAAGGTAGACATTTTGTAGCAAGGAGGGGAGTGATTAACTTTGCAGTCTAGAAGCAGAGGTCCCTAGGACCATCAACGGAGAAGAGCGGAGAGCGGGACCCTACCCAGAGAAGCAGTGATGCCTGAGATGGAGGCAGAGACAATGACATGGAGAGTAGCTGGTGAATCTGAACCACCGACCTTGTGGTTCAAACCGACCTTGAGATCCAATGCATTATCCGACAGTGCCATACCAGGACTCCATAGACAAACTTAAGGATCCTAATATGTGGAGCAAATATACTATTAAACATAACTGAAACTACAGAAACAGAAGAAGACAAACTAGACAACCAGGATCTCCTGAAAATCAGACACTTACGTGGGTCAAACGATTTCACCAAAAGAGAACCCACAGACTGTGAAAACATTTTTGGCAACAACATATCAAACAAGGGAGTTATCTCTGAAATTTATAGACATCAACACCTCAAGAAAAAGCAAAATAATCCAATTAAAAATGGGCAGAAGACATGAACAGACAGTTCACCACATTAAGGTGGCTCACAAACACATGAAAAAACATTTGTGATCATTAATCATTGTTGTTAAGTTCTGTCAGGTCGGTTCTGACTCACAGTGACCCTGTCTAGGGTTTCTGAGGAGTGGTTGGTGGATATGAACTGCTGACCTTGTGGTTCAAACTGACTTTGCAGTCCAGTGCTTATCCTAGAATGCCACACCAAGACTCTGACATTAGCCATTAGATGCAAATCAAAATAAGACATTATCTTATCCCAGCATTAGTAGTAAAGTTCAGAAAAACAACATACGCTGGTCAAAGTGTGGAAAGACTAAGACTTTTCATACACTGTTGTTAGGACTGTAAATGGTACAACCACTGTGGAAAACAGAATGATTCTTTCTTAAAAAGTTGTGGACATAGAAATGCTATATGATCCATCCATCCCACTACTCTACTAAACATATACTCAACAGAAATACGAGCCATGGCACAAATCATTACATGCACACCCATGTTCATACCAGCACTGTTCAGAGTAAGAAAAACATGGCAACAACCTAAATGCCTAGCAAGGGATGAATGGACAAAACACTAAGTACTTTATAACATGACCAAGCCTGGAAGACATTATGCTACGTGAAATTGTTAAGAGCCGTCAGTTTTGACTCATAGCGACCATGCATAGGGTTTCTGAGGATTTGATCCACCAGCCTTGAGGTTAGCAGTCCATTATTTATCCTACATTGTCACACCAGGCAGGACCCCAATGAAATTAGTCAATCACAAAAGTACAAATATTGTAAACAAAAACTATTATAAAAAGTAAATGTTTTCACACAGAAAAGAAAACAATATTTTTCAACAGTTAGTAATGAGAGGAGAGAGGGAAAATCACTAACCAGATGGTAAGCACATAGTCACCTGGATGAAAGGGAAGGCAATATATAAGGGAAAGTCAGTGCAAAATGTTCAAGGAAGATACTAGGAGGAGCACAAAAGTTAAAAGCCAATGAAGTAAATAGATTACATACATTAATTCTGCAATAACAATAATCTGTGACTGGATATCCACCATTCATCTATCAGCTTGTACTGTGGTGGCTTGCATGCTGCAGTGATCCTAGAAGTTATGCCATTGGTATTTCAAATACTAGCAAGGTCTCCCCTGGTGGACAGGTTTCAGTGGAGCTTCCAGACTCAGTCAGATTAGGAAGAAGGAATAGATGTAGCACTTCTGAGGAATTAGCCCCTGAAAACCTTATGAATAGCAATGAAACACTGCTTGATAAGTGCTGGAAGAAGCACCCCTAAAGTTGGAAGGCACTCTGAACGACTTTTTGCCTTACTACTGCTGTGCTAATGGGAAATGTTTCATCATCTGATGCTATCCCTCGAGTGGAAGAGAGCTTTCCCAAATCCTAGAAAAGTGAATTTGTCATTTTACAAGGGTCCTTTAACAAAGGACTTCCAAATCTACTCTGCTTCATGAAACTGCAACAATTTAGACCAAAACTGGCTTCACAAAGCAAACAGAAAAGGGGCCACCTATTTAGAAAAAGCATATTTTATGCTTCAAAAGGAAAGAACTTTGCTCAGATTTGAAAGTTTCCAAATCTGAGCAAAGTTCTTTTCAGAGTAAACGTGCCGAGGTGTGGGGAAACCTCACTGAGGTCCATGGGAAGCATGTCTGAAGGCTACTGGGCTGCTGAGGGCATGTAGGGGTCAATTAACACAGTCTGAGCATTTGGCCACAGCACACACCTTACAGTATCCACATGGGTAGGACTGCAGACAAGACAGTCTTACACTGTATTGTAATACTGATTAGGGTAGCAGATCCCAGCAAAACGGGAACAGGAACATAGCTGCTAGCAGCCTTTGGTCAACAAGGTTGCAGTGGGTGAAGGACAATGAACAGGCTGGTGGGACCTCACCTGCATGATGCTGTTGAGGCGAGGCTGAAGGCTGCTCAGGTATTCCTTTTTCACCTCGATCTCCTTGAGAATCTTCTCTTTGTTGGACAGACTCTCTCTGTACTTCTCTGCCAGTCTGTGCGTGGAGAGGACAGAGTGCTATCAGCTGATGCTCCCTAGAGTTACCCTGACATGTGTACTCATGGTCAGACACCACCTAGTAGTGGTAGTCAAGATTAACTGCTAGTGTCTACTGAGCACTTCCTATGTGTACTTTTTGGTGAGCTTGCTGCAAAAATTACTGTATTAAATCCTTATACAAATCCTGGAAGGTAAGGACAATTCTTATTCCTACAAGAATCAAAGGCTGAGGGATGTAGTTTGTATAAGGTCACCAGTAAGTGTGAGCAGTAATGCCTTAGCATTACTCTTAAGTAAACGTAGAATAGGGCTTTGAACCTATGCTATCTGTCTCCAGACCCTGCCAGCAACAACCACAGGTACCCTATGTCTTCTCCTGTTCCATGTCTTGCCTGAGATGCTAGACCCAACACTTTCACAAATAAGTGGATAAGGAATTATATGAGCCAAACAAAGCCCACCGACTAGCCTGAGTGAGGGGAGGTGGCCATGGATTGGCGCCCCGGGACACTGGGATGTGGCACTCACAGCCCAGTCCAGGCCCAGGGTAAGTGAGCCACAGGCCAACACCATCTGCTAAAAGACTGACACCAATTCTCTGAAGAACTCAACTCCATGTTTACTAAACTCATAGTACGAACCACAAGCAGAGAACTACAGTTTCTAAAAGAAATAGGCAAAATAAGGGATAAAAACAGCTATTCCTCTGATGTAAAACAGAACAGACATGTCAACTAAAAGCCTTCGAACACATGTACAAAATTGAAAGGGAGAGGTCAGTATTAATGGAAGGGATGTAATCATGAGAAGTTCAGTTTGAGAAAAAATGAATAAACACAATATACACACACACACACACACACACACACACACACAAAATACATTATACACTACACACTATACTCTTAGAAACCTAGGTTACATTATATACTATAAGCATTTGACTTACATTTTACATGGCATGCCTTGAAGAATTATTTACAATGGCAAAATATAGAAACCACCAAAAAGCCCATTAGGAGAATGAATGATTATGTGAATTATAATTTATCGATACACTAGGGTGGCATCCTGGAGTGACACTGTAGAATAAACCCTGACTGCTAACCACAAAGTCAGCAGTTTAAACCCACCAGACATTCCTTGGAAGCACATACAGGGTCACTATGAATTGACCAACTCGACGGCACTCAACCACAACTACAACGGAGTGCCACATAATCAGTTTGCCAGACTGTATGATATTATAAGGATATGCTTATATGTCAGGGAAAAGACAAAACACAAAATTAGATTCATGGTACAAAAGATACTTAGATTCCCTGAGACTATGGTCTATAACATCAAACAACAGATAGGCAAAGTTGTTGACCATTTGAAAGCAGAAGGGGAGCATTTACCTGAGGACAAAATTTAGAAAGGAGGAGGAAAGGAAACAAGAAACACAGGAGGAAACGGGACATGTGATGTTACGCTGAGGATTTTGCAACTGAGATGAAATGAAATGCGTATGATTTGTTAAACGTAAAACTGATGATATGCTCTGTAAACCTTCACTCAATTCACAAAAAAAAAAAAAAAAAAGACAGCTAAATATTTAGGTCTCAGGCATTCAAATTCTAAAGGAAAAAAGTTACTCAACTTTCTGTTAATGTCTGTAAGCAATTCCAGTCCACCCCCTTTGTTGGTCAAGGTTAAATCAGATGATGAATTGGGATTTGGTCTTACAGACTCATCTGTGGTCCCATAGTACTTTGTTGTCTGGTCCTGGGTCATGAAAAAGCCTTCTCCAATGATTCTGCATCCATTGCTCATACAGATTATCAAGGCCAAAAAGGCAGGAACACTACCTTTTCCGCTGCTCCAACTCCCAGTCCAGCCGTGCAAGGGTTTGCTGGTGAGAGTCTCCCATGGTGACCTCAGCCTTGCTGATATCTGCAGGAGCCTCCTGATAAAACTCCTCTAAACTGACCAGATCAATTTCTTCATGCTTTGACCTGTAGGGAAAAACCAGGTATCAATCTGCCATTCTCAGGAACCAAACAGTAGCTTAAGTGAGCCCACAGTTCCCCTCAATTTATGCCCACTAGACCTGAACCAGGAACCTGGAATCCAGTCTCTAAGATGAAACCTAGAGATGTTATTTAACAGGTATAAATATAAAGGCCTACACTTAAGTTCAAATATTAACTATCAACAGAGGCTAGGAAAGTACAGATAGTGATAAATACGTACAAAAGAAAAGAACTCCAATACTTTGCTGCATCAGCATAGTAGAAAGCTCAAGGTCAAATGCTGGTACCAACAGCAGCAGGTATTAAGCACACTGTATGATGCTCTCAGAGCCCTGGTGGCATAATGGTTGTGCACTCTACTGTTAATTTAAGACTAGTGGTTCAAACCAACCAGTAACTCCTCAAAAGAAAAGACCTGGTGATCTGCTCCTATAAAGACTTCAACCCACAGGGCATTTTACTCTGTTCTATATGAGTCCTGGTGTGGCGCTGTGAGTTAATGTGCCAGACTGCAAGTCATTTGAACTGCAATGTTGGCGGTTCAAGCTCACCAGATGCTCCTTGGAAACCCTATACAGGGTTGCTATGGGTCGGAACCAACTCTGACGGCACTTAACAACAACATAAGAGTCCTGGTGTGGTGCTGAGAATAAGCACTGGACTGCTAACTACAAGGTCAGCATTTCAAACCCACCAGCCACTCCATGGAAACCCTATACAGGGAGGTTATGAGTCTGATCTGACTCTATAGCACTATAGGGTCATTATGAGATGGAATCAACTCAACAACACACAATATGCTTTCCTTACTTCATTTAATTCTTAAAATTTTATGAGGGAAAGATTTTTATCTTCACATTTCAAATGAGACAGAGGCTTTGAGAGGCTGAACAGCATACCCAAGGTCACATAAAGCGAGTGAGTGGCAAGAGTTGGGATTGGAACTCACATTCATGACCCTTCCATGTGGTCACCTGCCTTTCTACAGACTCAAGGTCCATTGTATTGGGAATTTGTTGGCTTCCAACTTGAAACAATGAGTACAGATTTGGACATCACATTCTTTTATTAAAAAATGTTTATGGTGAAATACCTTACAACTCACAAGAAGATCCACCAATAATAGTACAACATATCCACATACCCTTTCCCAGGTTCACCAATGACAATACATTACAATAGTATCTTAGGGCAGTGTCAAAACCAGGACACTGACATTGGCATGATACTACTAATTCAGGTACAGACTTACTCAGATTTCACTTCTTTTAGTATTTAAGTATTCCAGATAAATTTGTGACACACACGAAGATGCTGATTTTTTTCAATATCATTACTCAAAATAAGCTATGTCTAACATGAATGACTTCATCCCAAGTTTATTACAAAATAAGCCTGACTCCTTTCAGTTTGCAGATAGGTCTGATCAAGCAATAACCATTTCCTTTTCTTTCCCTCCGTATGACTTCTTCCCCATCTTTCTCTCTCTATCCTCAGCTTGTGCAATGTTGCTGTTGCTAAGTGTCATTGAATTGATTTCAACTCACAGCAATCCTATATAGGGTTTCCAAGGAACTTCTGGCCTTGTGGTATGCAGTCCAGTGCTGATCCTACAGTGTCACACCAGAAGCTTGTGCGATACAGTGAATTATTTAATGTCTCTTGTAGCCATGTTGTTGTTAAGTTCTGTTGAATTAGTTTCGACTCATAGTGATCCTGTATAGGGATTCCAAGGAGTGGCAGCCATTGTAAATTCCCACTAAACGACTTTTTGATGGGTCAGGGTAAGAGAAGGTAGGTGAAAGCACTGATGTGAGTCAGTTATGAGTGGTTATTACAGGGCTAATTGTGAAAACTTGGAACTCTAAGGTGGGTATAAAATATCTCAGAAGCAGGAAAGAGGGATTTCATTACCATCAAGAAGATGAGCCAAGAGTGGCGCATGTCGTTTGGATCCCCAAATCCCTGCACATTGAACTCCTTGAGCCAGCGACAGGATGCTGTTCAGGGAAGCAGCAGTGGAACAACAGTAGCAGACTCAAGAGCCAGAGAACCAGACAGAGTGGTGGACTTCCCAGCCCATGGAGCAAATAAAGCTGGTGCCTTTGAGCAGGAGGCTCATCTGTGGAGTGGGGAACCTCCAGGCTGCTAGGTTTGCTGACTCATGGAGCTAGAACTGAGTGCCTTTGGGCTAAAGCTTATAGTAATGTGTCCTTTGGGCATTTATGAGCAGCCCTAAAAGAGCTTTAGGAGTCCTGATATGACACTGCAGGATAAGCACTAGACGGCTAACCAAAAGGTCAGCGGTTCAAACTCACTAGTCACTCCTCAGAAACCCTATACAGGGTCGCTATTAGTTGGAATTGACTTGGCCGAACTCAACAACAAAAGATCTGAGGCCAAAAGGCTAAGGGCCACACATAAACCTGCCTGCAGGTATGGTTGTGGAGAGACTGTCCTGACTGAAATATTCTCTTAGCATTTGTATTCCTGAAGAGTAACCTGTTAACTTCCCTTATAAAGCCCATAACTGTGTAAGTATGGTGTCTGAGTTCTGTGTGGCCACTGCAATGAATTACTGAACCAAGCTGAGTAGAGAGCACTATGGGAGGGACTATTGTTAGCATATTTTGCAGCTTGGTTTCTCCATAAGGCATCACATTTTAAAAAGAACATTGATGCACTAGTTTGTTCATCTGAAGAAAACTAACATGCAAAGAGGTGAAGTTCTAAGTAAAATTACGTTGCAAAAATAAGCTGTTGAAACATTAGAGAAGAAAATGGCGTCAAAAGGTTATGGGGCTATGACTAGAAGTGAGCTGCTTCCATGTAGCATGGAAATCAAACTGGTAAGATTAAAACCCCCTGCTGGGTGGTGCTGTTATTATTAAGTGCCATCAAGTCGGTTCCAACCCACAGTGACCCTGTATAGGAGGGTTTCCAAGGAGCTGCTGGTGAGCTTGAACCGCAGACCTTGTGGTTATAAATGACTTTGCAGTTCAGCTCATTAGCCTACAGCGCCACACCAGGACTTAAGAGACCTGCTTTTACCAGGGAGGGAGTTCAAAACTTGAAAGTTAGGAAGGTTTCTGAGACCCTCTGGGCTGCCTATTTCTTCTGATTCTCTTCGCACTTCTTCCAGATTCTGCAGTCTTCAAAGCTCATCAGATTTCTTTTTAAAGAAACTGGCTGACAATTAAGCAAATAGCAGTTTACCAGCAGCAGACCATCTGCGTCAAAACCCTGTCCTTCCAAACTCACTTAAACTCCAGGCATTTGGTGATTTCCTTCTGAAGGTGCATCACCTCGTACAACAGGTTCTGTAGCTGCAGATGATAGGCATCCACTTTCTGCTTAGCCTGAAAAGACGACAAGGTCAGCAGTGAGCAGGGCAAGGCAGAGATAGGGTAAGGAAACTTAGAAAAGGGGTGAGAGGGATAAAGAAGTGAGTGGGAATGAAGGAGGAGACGGACAGTCAAACCTCCATCTCCTACCTCGTGGGTCTGATCTCTTCCTTTCTTCAACCTGATGTGAGCTAGTCGGTTAAGCTTCTTGAGAGTCATGAAATGCACACAGCTCTGGATCCGCCGCTCTTCAATCTCAACTGCCTGCAGGCAGAGTGGGAAAGACCTCTAGCAACAGGTGCTGGGACCAGCTTACTTCATTCCCTCACTGCTGCCCATCCCCACCCAGAACCAAAAACAGACAATGGAGAACCAAAAACCGAACTACAAGAAAATGAGAGATGTCCAAGGGGAAACATTAGAATGACAGAATCAGGTTCCCAAAGGCAATGAAAAACTTCATCTGGCCCTTCTTGAAACAGTCTTTGTAACTCCCACCAAATGACTGGACCATTGTGTGCCGCTGAGTCAGTTTTAACTCACAGAAACCCTGCACAGGGTTTCCGAGACTGTGAATCTTTATTGGAGCAGAAAAGCCTCATCTTTCTCCCTCAGTGTGGCTAGTGAATTCAAACTGCTGACCTTGTGGAGGCTCACTAATAGTATTGGATAGCTTGCTAAAAAATGTAAATAAGATGTGCGGCACCCTTGCAGGGGTGCAATAAGGTGTATGAAATCCTAACGAAGGAGTTAGTCAGTTTTGCCATCCTTCTAGGCTTAAAATGAGCCATCCCAGAGGCAGAAAGGGTAGATTTCATGACCAAGAAGGAAGAGCCAGAAGTGGAGCATGTCCTTTGGACCCAGAATCTCTGCACTGAAAACCTCTTTAACCCAGGAGACAGAGAGAGAGCTGGAAACTCCTTGCTGAGACAATGAGAAGCAGTGACAGGAAACTGTCAGGAGACAGCACAGTGGGCTTCCAGGCCCACAGAAAACGGAAGCTGAGCATCTTTAGGCCAAGGCTTATTGGTAGACTGGGCACTTATCAGTAGAGCTAAAGAGCTTTGTAAGACTTGCCTGAGCAGGGCAGAGGCTGTGGGAACACAGGGCCAAGATGCTAAGGGCCAGATACAAATATGCCAGCAGGTACTGCTAAGAAGAGGCTGTCTTAATCGAAACACTGTATCCTAAATTGTTTCTAATCCTGAATTATAACCTGTTACTTCCCTAATAAACCTCATAATCATGAGTATCATCTGTGAGTTGTGTGGTCATTGCAATGAAGTATCAAATCTAGCAGAGAAGCAGAGAGTGCTGTGGGGGGTGGGGGGAGGACAGTGGTGTCAGAATTGGTAAAGGTTGGAGAGTGGACATTTGTCTTTTAGGAGTCAGCTTTGTGCTGTTGATCTTGAACATCATCTCTCCGTGAGAGGTTATAGGAGGTCAGTGCTTCCACCATGCCATTTTTACACGAATAAAAAAGCAATTTAATCGAAGTGAAGAGGATTTAATACTTACTGATAAAGATCAAAGACTGCAAACTTCAATATGGATTGCAACTCAATATAAAGAAAAAAAAAAAATCCTCACAACTGGACCAATAAATAAAATAAATAAAGAAAAGATAGAAGCTGTCAAAGGCTTTACTTTGCTTGGATCTACTATCAACACTCACAGAAGCAGCAGTCAAGAAATCAAAAGATGTACTGCATTACACAAATGCATTGCAAAAAAATTCTTTAAAGTGTTAAAAAGCAAAGATGTCAGTTTGAGGACTAAGGTGTGTCTGACCCAAACCATAGTATTTTCAATCACCTCATATACATGTGAAAACCAGATAATAATTAAGGAAGATCATAGAAGAATTGATGCATTTGAATTATGGTGTTAGAGAAGAATATTGAAAGCACTACCAGAGGAACAAATCTGTCTTGGAAGAAGTACAGTCAAAATGTTCCTTAGAATTAAGGATGATGAGAGTTTGTCTCTCATTCTCTGGACGTGTCATCAGGAGGGACCACTTCTTGGTAAAAGACATTATGCTTGGTAAAGTGGAAGGTCAGCGAGAAAGAGGAAGATCCCCAACAATGGATTCAAACATCACTATTGTGAAGATGGTACAAGAAAGACAGGGCAATGTTTTGTTCTAGTGTGAATAGGGTCACCATGAGTGGGAACCAACTCAACAGCACCTAACACTTTTACACTAAGGGAGCCCTTTTAGAGCAGTGGTTAAATGCTTAGCTGCTAAGTAAAAAGTTAGAGCAGTTTGAACCCACCAACCACTCCATGGGAGAAAGATGTGGCAGTCTGCTTCTGTAAACTGCCTTAGAAACATTATGGGGCAATTCTGCACTATCCTAAAAGGTCCCTATGAGTAGGAATTGACCTGATGGCAGTTCTTTTTACCTTAGTATTCTTATAATAGAGCCCTGGTGTGATGCTGGAGGATAAACACTGGACTGCAAGATCAGTTTCAACTGCACAGTCCGTGGTTCAAACTTACCAGCCGCTCCTTAGAAACACTATACAGGGTTGCTATGAATTGGAACCAACTCAATGGAACTTAAAAATTCTTACAACATCAAGGAAATTCATATCTGCCATCGTTTCTCAACACCTAGCCAAAGACTTGGCACTTATAAATATTGTTGCTACATTGTTAAGTGCCGTCGAGTCAGAACTGATTCATTACAACCCTGTAGAGCGTTTCTTTTGAGAGCCTGGCCATTAGCAGACTAGTCCTTACCCTACAGCACCGCACCAGTTGGATGAATTAATCAGATTACAGTATGAAAATCATTAATTACTCTGTGCTTTCATTACTATCATTGGGTGGTGATAAGATGTTCCAACAAATTAAACTAAGAGGTAGGTCTTTGGAGCCTGTGGCTCCCACCACCTATCAGGATCAGCACAGATAAGCAAGATGAGGCAGAGTCCTAGTGAGTACAAAAACCTCTTAAGTCGACAATGTTTAGTCCCATCTGCGCAGACTCACCATATTCGTGGCCATCCAGTCCCACTTCCTTACCATGTCCTTGCCGCCTCTGCTCTTTAGGTCCTGGATCTCTGCCATGAGCCTCTGCAGCTCCTGGCACGTGTACTTGTACAGCTCATAGTCTCTGCCAGGGTCCCGCAGGTCCACCTCCGCTTCCTCACTGTAGTATTTGCCTTCCTGTCGAGGCAAACAGACAGGTCCCAGATTGGGGGTACAAGTCTCTATGTGGAGACCAGAGACACTTATTGATACCTCTTGTCATATAAGAACAGTAATAATGAAGCCCCACACATCAAGCTTCTAAATGGTCTGGTCTATAAATCAAATGAATGGAAACTTTTACTTACCTTTCTGATTACAAAACTAACCTATGCGAGAGAACAAACAAGATGGCGGATCGGGTAGAAGTGCAGTAAAGGAGCTCCACCGCAACAACACAGAACACCTGACCAAGCAGGCTCAGTGGATGATCCCAGAACTCTGAACCATATATAAAGGAATATTTAGAAGGTTGAAAGGCTTACAGCTGGGGAATTTGTGGCAGAAGCAAGAACTCCATTGCTTTCTAATTCGAGATGCTCAAGGAGCCGCCATCTTGGGTGAGACCAAGCGAGGGAAGGATTGGAGCGGTCACAGACGCCTGGCAGAACCGCAGAGATAAAGGTGTGGACATTCTTCTCTTTTGGTAGCTGTTCATTGGTCCCTTGCTGTCTGCGCACCTCCACTCGGGTGACTATAGGGGTGCCTGAGCTAGTGGGCACCCCAACCCCACCCTAGGAGGGTACTACTACACATTCGCACAGATCTCCTTGAAATTTAAAGAGACAGTATCCAATTAAAACCAAACGGCCACAGCCAGCCCTGAACTGTTTACAACCACAAAAAAGGCCTTAATGGGGATTGTGGAGCAGGACAAGCAGACAAAAAAGGAAATAAGCTGAAAATTAAATCCTGTTACGTCAAAATGACCAACAGTGGCATCTTGAAATTTCTCAAGAAGAAGAGTGAAAAGGGAAGCCCATTTCCTCATCACATCTACCTGGAGGCAATCAGAAAGCATAAAAAATACCAAAATACATACCCATCTGAGTATTAAAGCCACAGACAACCCCTGAAGATGTCCAAAAAACAGAAGCAGATGACCATATCTGCACATGTCCAGAAATGAGATAAAGTGACTGAGGCAAATGGGCTGGAAAGTAGACCTACACTCCATACTGGAAGATGGGCAGGCTTTGGAAATGCCGGAAAAAGAATTCAGAAAACTGATTATAAAATGTATCAAAACACTATACAACAGAGTTGAGAAAAATAAGGAAGAAGTCAGGAAAGCGTTACAGGAACAATCAAATAAGATAGATACAGCATTGTAAACTATTTAAAACCTATAGAAAGAGGTCCAAACGATTAATAATAGAATATCAGAAATGGACAATACTCTGAAAGGGCAAAGGAGTAGAATTGAAGAGATAGAAGCCAGAACTAGTGAACTAGAAGATAAATCTTTCAACACAACTAAGATAGAAGAAAAAACACAAAAAAGGATTAAAAAAAAAATCTGAAGAAGGCCTAAGATTCATGCTGGATAACATGAAGGGAATAGCATAAGAATTATTGGCATTCCAGAACAGGAACAATCACACAAGCCCACAGAGGAGAGAGCTTCTAGAAGAAAATTTTCCTAACATCCTGAAAACTGAAAAGATAAGCATTCAAAAAGCTCAACGAACCCCAGGATGGATAGACCCTAAAAGAC